TTCTGTTTCTCTCTGCAATAAACAAAAGCATCCAGATACAGCTTTCTTTCAAACACAGACCCGTCTATTTTCAGAACAAATACCCAAGCCTAAGTGATTAAATTAAAAAAGACAACACCTAGGAAAGTGGTGAAATTCTGTTAAATACCATCTTGGTAGGCTGGTATTCAGAAGTACATCATCAGAGAAGCTGACGTGATGTCCTTACATGTAGAGCACCTACCTCATTTTTTCTCCTCTAAATCCAAAGGTGCAAAACCAAAAAGAAATACTGACCTCTCAGATTTTAAATTAGAGTTTTAAACCGTAAAGTCGGGTATCAATTCTACCTGGAAGCTTACCAGTTTAACTCTTCTAGATTTGAGCATAACCTAGAGGATTTTCCTAATTTAGGATTTTCTTAACTGTCCTGTCCTAACAGAGACTGGCGTCTCTGCTGCAGAAAATATGTTTAACATGACAAGATGTTAAGATGCTTAAATGTTTAATCTTCCCATTAACAGTTCACTAATAGGTAGCAGAGTATATTCAAATGTAAGGCTCTAGAAACAGGAAGAACCAGCACAGTATACTGGATCCATCAGTGAGCTAAAGTGACCACTGGCAACCAAGAGACTTTGAGGGACTTTTGTATTAGTCGAACTCACCTCTGAACACACACAACAGTGCCATCTGCTGCAGAATGCAGCATTGCCTCATCTTGAGAAAGGAGAGAGAGACCAGGTTCTTAAAGAATCCCTCTCTGGAGGCCCTGCTTACATAATCTAAATAAAAACGCCCAGCAAAAACCCACAGCCACTACCAAAATCCCCACTGGTAGAAGATGGGAGAAGTTCTGATATGATTCATATTCATGCAACTAAGATCAGGAAGAAACTTAAGAGACAACCCCTTAGCTACAATAACTGAGTGACTGGTGCTTACTTAGGTGGTTAGTTGGGTCGACAGGCCAGAAGAGAACACTTTCCTACAGCCATGCATCACTGATGCCTGTGTGCTGACAAATACATTGATTAGATTGCAAAGGCTTTGTGACAGATTCCTCATTCTGCTTCACGTTACCCAATACGCACACCACAGCAGTCCCCAACTCGCACTGCTGAAGAGCCATGCCTGGCTCTTTCCTCTTCAGAGCTGTGTTTGCAAAGGTGTATTTTCTCTCATCTTAGGCTGTAGCTTAAAGTCATCGTTAAATACAGTTTAAAAAAGCAAAAATAGCAACACAATCCATTTGTGTCAAGGCTTTTTTCTAGCAGACATTGTTACCTATGTGACCTTAATCCTGCTTCCCTGAATGAGATGTTCTTGTCTTGAAGATAAAAATTCACCTCGTTTTGTGTTCTTGTTTCTGAGAAGAATCTGCCAATAGCAGAATGTGGATGAATTTGCAGGGGAAGATGAATTCACCTCCTCTCCTTCCAGCACTCAGAGAGGTCTGTGACTTTTCTGTGGATTTAGATAAGTACTAAAGGCTAAGAAGTTTACTGAGACAATTGCTTGTGAGGTTCAGCTGATAGCTAGATCCCTAAACAGATCCATATTAAAAATAACCTTTATTTTGGAAAGAAGCCAAGGGAATAAAGCAGTATATAAAGCTGAGAAAGCTTCCAGTCTCTCTCTGGACTCCATGAAGAGGAGACAGGAAGCTTTTGTAAGGTTTTAATGACAGCTGGAAGGATTAATTTAGGATTAATTCTCCAAAGCTAGAATGATTCCATAATGTGACTTTCAGCAGAGAAATCTTGGAAAATGCCAAGTCAACAGTTCTTTGGAGTGGTGTTGGATGTAGGAAGCTTTTTATTTGGTCAATAGCAGTCAGTTCCATGCAATCTCTGATGCAGTGAGCAAGGAGTCACTCATTTAGCAAGATTTTAGGCAATGCTGTCATTTAGTCAGCTGTTCAAGGTAGTAGGGAGATGCAATCATTTCATGTGTCATTTGTAACAAATTAGCTGGAATCAGGCAAAAACCAGATGGACAAAATCCACATAAGCACTTCCAGAAAGTAAATTATTTTTGGCTGAAGGCCAATGGTAACAAATTGGTGTGCTGACATAAGATGCATAGGTTAGAGCATAAGGTCTAAATACCACCTCGTCAGAGTTACGGCAGAGATTTCATTTCCGCAATTCACAAAGGATAATACAGAATCTCCTTGGAACAGCACTAAAGTACATTCAGCTGCTTCTTTAGAAGATGGAACACTTGTGCTTCTGCATTTTCCCTGCTGGAAGCAAGAATAAGATATAAAATGGAATTTGCAAGAAGGCTTTCTCTTTCTTTGAAGCAAGAAGATAAGAGGCTTCTTTTGGGAGATGAATTTGCAGAAAACCACAGATCATCTAATGACATGTAAAGACACTTTTACTGTCCAGGACTATTACTTTCAGTAACTACAGTAACATCACATGCTCAACTTCTGTGTTGTAAGTAAGGGCTTCTGCATCATCTGCTAGGTGTGTGTTTGCAAAAGCAAATGCCATTTATACGTGAAGAGTCTCTCAATTCTTTTAAATCAAAATAATTATCAAACACGAGGCTAACCGATGCTCTGACAGGCTTAGGCAGAAATGCAAAACCGCCTGGAGCGTTTGGGTTCAAACCACTTGTTAGAACACGTGAGTGGCCATGCTCAGAGACACGTGGATCCCTCTCTGTCCCTCCCATGCAATCTTTTACTGCGCTACAGACTTGTCATTTACAAGAACATGACTCGAAGTTATCATTAACCATACCATAACACAACATTTTTTCTGGGCTTCTCCAATCCTGACACAACTGACTCAGTGGGAAAGATTCACCTTTTTTATGTGAGCAGTCTGTGCTTGCCTCTAGGGACACAGGCGACTTACAGCACACTTGCATTAATTTGACAGCAGTTATTGTAACGTTGCCTCAGAGCAGACGTAAGCATTTCTGTTTTACAGCTTGTTGCTTAAGGTCTTGTCTGGGCTTGTTATAGATAGGCTCTATAGAGGAAAAATTGAAATTACAAGTGATCATATCACAGGCTTGTCCTTACGCTTATCCAAGAGAAGCTGCTAGCCTGAAAAGCCATTACTGAAGTACAAGTTCATTACGGTGTTCTGTGCAGAAGTGCCTGCTGAAAACAGTAAAGTTAAGCTACAAACCGCATGCTTTTATATCCTTGTGCCCTCACCTCTGCTCCTTGAGTTTAAGACAACAGCACAGAAAAACATCGCTTCGTCAGCTATTCTAGAAGAGACCAGCCAAGTCCCAGGCATATGTATGTGACACTGAACAGAAGTGTCACAGGCTACCTTTCAGACTTAATTACTGCCTGTTTAATTAGTACATTTCAGGCTCCTCTGTGGGCAGCAACTCTTTGCATTAGAAGCATCTAGAAGGAGAGTTTTGTATTTATGTAAGCAGTATGAGCCTTTACTGCCCATTTATGCTTTTCCTCATGCAGGAGAGAGAGCCAGGCAAACTAGCAGTATACGTATGCTGTTGAACTCCCGTCTTACATGTTCTGCAAACATCTGCAACCTCAGGGTGCTAAACCAGTTCCTTCATATTATTTTCCTGTGTACCACAGTGTAAGCATACTCAGATTTTCCCCTACTTGGAGGTATCAGTGAGACTGTGCGTCAGCTGCCATCATAACCGCTTCCCCATCTGCCTAATTATATATGGTACGGGTGCATACATAGTTATGCACAGAATACATGTCCTCATGCCTGCCCTGCGGTCTCTTCCAAGTGTTGACATGTTCTCTCAATGTATATGTGAAAAACAAAGAGTGTTGGAAAACAACCTCTCGGGAAAACACTGATGATTGTTCTCCAGCCTCGGGCCACTCCACCAGAACAGTCAGCTCTTTGTCGGGGACAGACACGTCAGCTGGACACATACAACTGACTGGGGATTTGTTCTGGGTCTCTCTGCTGCAGGAACAAAACCAGAATTCACAGGGAGCTTGTGTTTATCTACAGATTAATTGTCCCCTTTCAAGGCAATACATCTTTGGGCTCCTGATCAGCTTCTGCTTCTCCAAAAAACCCTGCTGATTTTCCTGTTTGAGCCAACAGAACACAGGTAAAATTGAAAGTTTACTCCATAAAAGTACAAAGCATGTAGAGAACTGTCTCTGTATTTCAGGCCTCAGCATGTTCTAATAGGCTCCATTAGTAAGCCACTCTCTACACCATCCCACTTCTGTGGCTTCAGAGAGCTTTGTGGCTTTAGTTTGCAATTGCTATTTGGTATGGTTTGGGGGGTTTTTTTATTCCCCCTTTCAGAATAGGAGTGTATTACACGGCATCCTGGGGAAGTTCTCTGCAAGTAAAACATGTTTCCTGTTAAAAGTCATTCTTGGCTATTGATTTCCAATGTCCCGGAGAGTTCAGCTGAATGTGGCTGCAAGGAATTTGCACAAACCACAACAGACACGGGAGGTGTTCTCAGAACTCCAACTGTGAAGTTTAAGCTGCCCCATTGTGCTGGTACCTAAGTATGTCTGGAGCTGCAGCTGGGTAAATGAAGAACCCAGCTTCACTTTCCGTATTATAAGCAGGACAGAATTTCACAATAGCTTTGTATAACCCCTTTGTGCAAAAATCCATGGGCTAAGGGGGCTGATTAGTCTCAAATACTGCTCAAAACAGCCAGCCATTATAGAACACTGTCTGTCTTTCATAACATGCCAGCAGAAATCTCGTGAGGATGGTCCTAGCTTAGCTTGCAGCCAGATTTCTACCAACCATTTTACTGCAGGGGTAACAAGGAAAAGCTGTCATTCTGTACCATCACTCTCATGTAATGAGTCTGGGGGGGAATGTTATTTATGTGGAATCCTTTCTGCCGAGAGCACAAAACCTGCCGCTGACCCTGACATAAGTAGGCACAAAGCCACAGAAACCAGGGGAAGTTACACAAGGGTGCAGAACTGTTTATGGAGCCAGACCACACACTGGACCCAATGTTGCCTCGTGGGCAGTAGGTGGGGCTTTCGGCATTTGCGTGGGAGCTCTCCAATGAGACCCGGAGAACAAGGCTACAACCTTCTGGTTTTCATAACAGCATCTCCCCTCCAGTAGGGCTGAGGCATGGGCGGAGCTTGATGAAACTCAAATAAACACTGACACACAGCATCTTGTGAGTATGTGCAGCCTCAGAAGGACAGACTGCAGTAGCTAAAAGGATAAGGACAGCTTAAAACGTAAGTATGTCTACTTTCTCCACTTTCTTAATATAATTAGGAGCCTGTGGAATGGTACATTCCAGCTATACTTACTCGTGGCATCCGTATAACCTGCAAAGATGCCTGCTATGCTCTCTGTCCCTTTGGCCCGTGTGTTAACAGCTGCAGAAAAAGCCTAGGCACCCTACAGTCATATTTATATGAAGAGATGGAAATCTCAAAGCTCAGCTTTCCTACAGATGTAGAAATGAATTCAACTGTAAATATCTGGAGTAGTCTTCTCAGTTTGTCTTCCCCCCCACCCCCAGCATTGTTTTATGTAATTCAAAAATATTTCTCACGTGCAGTCACCAACAGCACTGGCCACAGTTACACAAGACAGAGCTGTGAGAGATCTAAGTTACAACAAGGTGTGTCAGGGAGGGGTTGGGATTGTCGCGTACATAGAGAAGCCAGCTACTACAACAGCATGTGCTGAAATGGAGGAACGTTTACTTCTCTGCTTTCTAACATACCCAGGGAACAGGTGAAGAGGAGAAATGTGTTTTCTATCACTTTGTAGCAAGGAGAAATAGAAAGTGACAGCAGAGCAGCAGCATTTTTGCCTTTGAAACAGCAAGGGATAAAATATTGTAGGACGTTTCAGTGTAACTCCTCACATTCACTTCTAATAAAATGACTGAATTCCTGCTTTATTGTTATGCTTTGATGATTTGTAAATACTACTGACAAGAGGTGTATGAGTACCACTGTCCACTTTGGGACTGTGCAGCAGCCTCTGGTGACCAGTCATTCTGGTAAAGACTGCTGAAGATGGTGTATCTTCAGGCTGGGACAGGGAGGGTGACAGTGCCTCCTGTTAACTGCTGGCACCAGTCTCCTGCTCCGTGGTTCTCTGATCTTGCCTTACTCTAGGGCGACAACTTAAGGAGCTGCTAGAAAAAGCTCAACATGCTCTGTGCACTACTTATTTTAAGGATTCTAAGTGAAATCGGTGCCAGCAGGTTTTTTGGGGTGTTGTTTTTTTGATAAAATCTTTTCAACCTCATAGATCCCAAAGAGAAAACTCCTTGTAGCCACCTTTAAACCAGGGTACAGAAGAGGATTAACAGTATTCAACAGTATTGTACATGTCATAAGAAAATGAAAACAGATAAGACAGTGGTCATGTACCGCAAAGGCAGGTCTCAATTTTATAAAAGAAGACATGGTACAAAAACAGACATTCACAAATATGCTAAAGATGGCATACCTTAAAGACCTTACCACTAGAGGTGGGATGTGCTGAGAATTGCAGCTATGCACCTTTAATACTAAAAGCCCATGAAAAAAGTAGAGCCACGAGTGACAGAGCAGCAGCTTTTCATTGTATGGACAGCTATGAACAGCTGCAGCTGAGAAATGAAAAATAACCTCAGAGTTTGTTCTGTAACCCGAGAAACATACGATGAAAAGACAATGTACTATGATCTAAGAATTGAGATAACTGATGAATTCTCTACATGCTGTCTTTGCAACTTGAAGTGCAAAGAACATCATAATACAATAGAAAGCAGAGACGTTCTCAGGACGTAGGGTTGTGCACTACCATCTGCCTGGTATTGACAAAAATAATAAATGAAGGCTCCTAAAATCTCAAGACTTTTCACCAGATGTGGTTATTTCAATAGTGATTTTGATAATTTTCCCTTGCTTTACTTTGGGACAGTGAGAGAAAGTTGAGTGTTTTCATGTTTTCAGCCTTTTCCTTCTGTGTGAAGGCTACCTAGGAAAGTAGCTACGTATTCATAAGTGCAGAAAATCTCACCTATTCATAGGACTCTGGGGCCAAAGGCCTTTAAGAAAGGCATCAGCTATTACAAGAGGCCCATTGAAGTTACAGACATAGTCAATAATACCAGAGCACCCATCCACACCAATACCTTTTCATCCAGGAGCAAGTTGGCTGAACTCCTCAAGTCCTTTTTACTTATGCATTTCCACAAAACTGCCATTTGCCGAACCTCAAATCCTCTGTTTTGTGGACAAAAGTGAAGGCAGCATATCCTGGAAGATGAACACTCCCACATCAGCCTAGAGGTACTTCTTGGTCCTGGTTCTCTGTTGGTTCCTTCAGGGCTAAAAGAATTTCAGCCCTTATTGAGTGACCAGGGATAAGCAGTGTGAGCCAGTTTCAGGGACAATTGCCTTTTAGAAAGCACCTGTCTTTTGCCTGAACTTCTGCAGTCACTTCTCAATGTAGCAAGTATTACCGAAAGGCTGGAGACCAGAGGCTGAAGATAAACTCTTGACAATAGGCAGAAAAGCCCTAGTTCTTTCTTCTGCACCATTTATACTGCATGGATTGGAGAGGCCAATGAACTGTGTCTTGTCTTTCAGCTCTGGCAAGATGATCAAATCCTTCAAGCAAACATTTCTGTCCCTGGATCTGCAGTCCCCTCGGTGGAGCTCAGGAGAAACGATGGTAACCACTGAAGGCCAAGGGGGAACGGAGGGCTCTGCAGGGCTAAGGTGGATTTGGGATTTCCAGACCGATAAGAATGGAAGACCTGGGAAGTGTTACTAGACACTGGTGACACCTAATTGCAACCTATTTACAAGCTTTGAGGAGCTCAGCCCAAGGCAGAACAGCATAGTTTTGCTGTCTGCATCAGTTTGGCATTGGGGGTATGCCTAGAGTCTGCAGCAAAGACCTCAGTGCAACAATATTTTCATGCCAATTTGGAAAATTGTCATTGTTAATATTCATCTCATGGTTACTTTGCTGCCTTTCAGACAAAGGATTATGAACTCCGTCAGTATGAGACAGCAAAGTGGGTCAGCACAGTCATTCCGGGAGAAACCCAGAAGGAAGCAATGCGCCAGGGCTTCTGGAAGCTCTTCCACTACATCCAAGGAAAGAATGATAAAGGTATACGTGCTGGTTTTGAACAGCAAGAAGCACCCATGGCAGACAAAGCTGCATAATAAGACAGCAGATGAGCTGTGGAACAAAGCATGTTCCCCACCCTGGTCTAACACCCATGTGCTTCCTTGAGGCTGCTGCTTTGGTTTCTGCTTTCAGGATGAGTCTGCATCACCCTTTACTGCAGCATTCAGGCACTATCTTTGCTTGCAGCTTAAGACAACTTTTTTCCCCTCTCCTCTAGAAATAAAGATTGACATGACTGTGCCAGTGACATGCCTGATAAAATCTGGCTGTGCAGACTTCAAGATCTCTTTCTTTGTGCCTTTTGAACACCAGGACTCTCCACCACAGCCCACCGACTCGGATGTGTTTGTTGAAGAGCGGAAGGCAGCACCCATCTTTGTCCGGTAAGCAGCATCGGCACAGCTGACACTAAAGGTGATTTTTAACTGTGGCTATACCCTGCTGTTCAGAGCCTTGACTAGCAAAACCTGATCATTTGGAAATATTTTTATGCTTGGGTGTCTTAGTAAGAACAAAGAGAAATGACCAAGTGTTGAACCCTTCATTTTTTCAGATTCTTGAATATTGCATTGAGTGGGTTTTATAGAAATGCAGCCTGCAGAATCCTCTTGGACACATTCTTTGCTACAGAACACCTACATAACTCTTCTACCCCCCTCTATTTGTAGTCTAAAACTCCCACAAAACCTCAGTGGCAGTTCTTTATTACCAGAAAAGCACTCAAAGCTACACTTGCCCTCTCTGTATGTACTAAACCACAGGCAACAATGTGTCACCTAGTACCCTCAGAACTGCTGGCAACTTAGTCTTTTTAAATCCTTTTAACATAGCATTCAAAACATACACTCCCCAACAGCTAGTTCTGCAGTTTACCTAAAAACAACCACCTGCATCTGAAGTGCTCAAACACTACAAGCTTTGCAAGCCTGCAGTTTCCTTCTGTGAAAATAAAGCAGGGGCTTGAACTCTTAACAAAAAAGTTTCTCCCTTTTCACTTTTTCCAGGTCCTTCGGTGGATTTGCCTCCCCAGAGAAATATGCTGAGGAAGCTGAAGTCTTGGCCAGAATCTTGAGAAACAGAGGCCAACCGTTCCATGAAGACTTCTTCTATACTGCAGGCTATGACAGTCCCTTCAAGCTCTTTAACAGGCACAATGAAGTGTGGTATTTTAAAAAGTAATATGGTGGGGGGGATATTAAGAGGCTACTAATCAGCTCTGGATGAACACAGACCTTACTAATGGCTTTTGCTTTAGTGCAGAAGAGATTTAATATGCACATGGACACAGGATCATGTCTAATTTTCCCTAGGATGAAATACTATTCTGGCTAAAAATATTTCAGCTCTTTCTACAACATGTAATTTAAATTCAAGTAGATCATACCAACTGGAGTGGGAAGGAGATATAACACTTATTCCTCTTAGTGAAAGTTTCTAGGGGGCACTAGTAATATGAAAATATTCCTGCAGAACAGTTTGGGTGTCTAGCTTTACTTCTCATTAGAAGTGCTACAGCAATAGCTCAAGTGTTATGGAGAATGAGTTCTTCATAGAGCTGACTTTTCCCATTATGTGTCTCCTGAGACAACAGAAAGATAGGGGAAATTAAATGAATTTTTCCAAAGAAACCCCCATTAATGAGTTTTGGGAAGCAGCAATTCTTTAGCAGGCCCTAGTGCCTCATAAGCAGTAACTTTATTTTTAAAAATAGTATTATCAAAATTCCCCACCTCTCCAACTTTTTTTTTCTCCTCATGGAGGCTGGATGCTGTCTTGCTCCAGACTAATGCCAGTGACTGAGTCCAGTGGAAAAGGGTTCAGAGTGTCCAAGCTGTATGCTTATTCTGTGCACATCACTGGCACCTGAACACGTAATACCAGACTTAACACGTAATACCAGACTTACTGGTGGCCTGTTAATTTTAGGAGCAAATACACAAGTAATAGTGTTTAGCTCTCACCTAGAAAACACTAATTGCTACTTCAATTATTTAGCTTTGTCCAAATCTCAGTCTTGGTCAGGTCAACTGCAGCCCGCACACGAGCAACACCTCACACCCAACCTAGAAGACACTTGCAGGACTAGCATTTAAACTAGTTTAGTCTCTGCTCTAAACCAAGCATTTGAAGCTTTTCTAAACTAGCCTAGAGCTGGTTTACAGCAAGGTATTCCAAGTCAGAAAGCAGTCCACAACAACAGGTAGAGTTTACAAATTTTTATTGATTCCAATCAGTATCAGGCAAACATTACCAGTATGGTAAAAAAAAAAAAAACTTTGCTTTTTTAATGCTGTTCATGCAAGTGTAACCCATTGTTCTGCAATCTTCCACCTATTAAGACAGACATAAGAACCATTATAAGGCACCAAACCAGCACAAGAAGCTTACTGGGAACCACTCAGACCTTGGATAATTCATCTCTGTTCAGAGAGAGAGTTCAAGCTAAGGTTATCATCATTTGTTCCCACAAATAAATTTTGTCACTACTACAGTTACACTCACCTTCTTGGCTCTTCATGCAGTAGTTTCAAAGTTGCCTCTTCACCTACAGCAAGAAACCACAATTAACATACGCAGTAGCAAAACTGCTAAAAGTTCCCCAGCAGCTTTGTAACCTCAGAGAAAAGTGGAACGGAAATTGTAATATCACAGTAATTCATTTGGCAGAATCAAATTTCATCAGTGGCTACAAATTTTCTCAGTTTTTAACAGAATTCATCTGCTGTGTTGTCTTACCGAGTGAGGCTGCAGACAGCACAGTCCTTTCCTGAGAAAGAGAGAAGTTGTTTCACAATAAGACATCACTATATGTAAGTTCATTTATCTCTGAAATTCTATTCACTGAACTAATTTTACCCACAAGGAGGCTGCAATTCAGCTAGCAACTGACAAGAACTTCAACTTGCAACACCCAAACAGGATATACAAAGCTCACAAATCCTAACTCAACTGGAAATACAAAATTACTAATATTGGAAGAATTGGGGAAAAATACAAAGCTGCCACTCACTTTGCCATCCTGTCTCTCTCCAACAGAAAGTTGTATTCAGTGAGTTTTGATTCCTAAAATACAAGTCCCATAGAAATCACCGTGAAAACCTAAGCTTAAAAGTGAGAACCAGTCTGCTGGAAGAAACAGGTTTGTACAGCAATCATGTAGACCTTTATCTGAAATTTGTGTACAGCAAACATACCCAAGATTGGCAAAAATTAGTGACAACCACAGCATATAGGGTTGGTGTTTTGCCTTTTTTCTTCTTCATTCAAGAGTACAGCGTTACAGTGTCAGTTCACAGACTAGCCACATACATGAGCTACGAGTTGTGACAGGCATTATGTCTGCTGCTGTGCATCCTGCTGTGCTACACTATCAATGCTGTACTGGCTAAGCGGTCTCCACTGATTCAGCTCCTTTGCTATTTCCACTGTGTGAAGACATACAGCAATAAAACCCCAGTTTCAGAGCCACTGAGGCCACATCTTCTGTTCATACCAACAGAACTCTATGAAGTTTACACCGAGTACAGTTCAGGAATTGTCAGGGTACCCGCACAGAAAGAGCCCTTCCCTTTCAAGTAAAATTCTGAATTACTTAGAAGCGCATTCTCGCTTCAAGCCCATCATGTTTACTCCCACAGTAGCTGAGTGGGAGAATCAGAATACAACCACAGAAGACAAATCAGATCTATTGTAGGACTAATTTTAGGCACCGCTATCCAGGCATTTAGCACACAGACAGTATTCCAGTAATTATCAAACCCTACGTACCCTACACTTACCTCAGACATAAGTCTTGTTTTTCCACACAAACACCCAGGAGCTTTACTCTGTAACAAGTGAAATTTTATTAACACACTCTCCTCGGCAGTGCCTGAAGAGTTAGCTTGAATGCGTGTACTGTTTCAGTGCAAGAGTCCTCCTCAGCCTCTTTCAGAGAGATTCCCATTGCTTAGAATTCATCACCAACAGTACAAGCTTGGAGGAGCTTAATGTTTTGTTACTTTTGTTTCTGCATGGAAGAGGACCTGACCTCAGCATTTCAGACCTCACCCCCAGACACATCTTCATTCACATCACATAAAAGCTCTGACCTAGCCATTGCAACAAATAGTTTACCACTATTTAAGATCAGAGCTACTCCCTGCAAAAGCCCACTAGTTAATTTAACCCGTAAAAAGCTGAATAGCAAATAATTGCATTGGTTTGCGTCAGAACAAGCTCTGCACTGCCAAGTGACCACACATTCATTCTTATCAGCTAGGAACTCCAGCAGTCTCTAGCAGTCACATTCTTTCAACTGGTCCACACTTTTTCAGTTACAGAAAGCAATTAACATTCTCAACTAGTAAAAAAAAAAGTCTTACAGCAACCAAGAAGCAAGCAGCTTACCAACTAAGAAGCATCTGTCAAATAGTATCCAGCAGTTCTCCCATTCTCAAATCTAGGTAGGATACACATAAGAAAATGAAATGTCAGTCCAATGCTGATGTTACTCGAGAGCTGTGTTAAGACTTCCAGAAACTTCTTTGGCCATTACTGTTACAATCATCACCGCATCTATCACTGTCTTTGGTCATGAGGCACGAGATTCAGTCCCTAGCACCTTGGGTCAGTAAACCCTGCAGGGCTGCTGGTAACCTGTGATCTATTGGTAGAGGGAAGAAAATCCTCCAGGAACCTTCCGATTAATGCTGCAGCTCCAGTGCAGTTAGAGGCCGGCACCAATTAACCTCCCCACCACCCATCAGGCAGTTCTGACCAGTCGTACGCATTTGCTGGCAACTTACTTTTCTGGCAGCACTATCAACTGCAGCACTTGGCAGCTCCACTGCCCCAGCCCTGGAACAAAGCAAAGCATCAGGAGAGCAGAGGCGAGCACACGAGGATGAAGTCTAGTCAGGTGCCTGACATCAGATAGAGCTAATTGCAGACCTCCATGATTGAAGTCAAGGCAGTCACATCTCATCACACAGGCAGCTCACACTGTCAGTCACGGGACAGCTATCTGTTTTAGGCTGAGGCTGCTACGGGCTAGAGGGCAAATATGCTAATAGTGCTGTCAGAGCAACTTCATGAGCTCACAGGCACACAGTGAAGTTTAGCACAAACCAGCCTGCCAAGGCTGGGCCTTATCCAGCAGTTCCCCCCTTAAGCAGCCTCCTGTTTTTTCTGAGATGCAAGCAGCAGCCAGCACCGGCCCATTGCACCTCCCCCTCCAGCCTACATGCAGTTAAATACTTCACTTCTAAGCATATTTTTTTAATGCCAATACTTGCAAAGTTACAACAAGTACTTACATCACAATGAGAAGCACTTTGGAAGCCTGCAAAGAAAGACTTGCTGTTAGATAGGGTCCAGGAGAAAGTTTTCACGTAAGAACAACTCCACTGAAATACTGTATCAGCATTTGGTCAAGTTTTATCCTCATTGGGATCAGAGACCTGATTCAACATCATCTACAGTAGACTGCAACACTCCTGCCCCCTTCCACAAGAGGGGTGTAAAGCCATCTCCCAGCACTCTCCCCAACACCCTTGAGATGTGAACTCCTCAACTCCAGGGACTGCTGAAACTGCAGAAAGGAGCAAACCTCCACATTGCAGAGTTCAGTGACATGAACTTTGTCTAAACATCTCAGTTGGCCTAAACTAGGAAAAGAATTTCCAAAAATAAATTCATAGTAATGCCACATTCATCATTTAGGCTCAACAGGTCCATTCTAGAAATCTTTAGCACAACAAAACAATTACTTTATACCATTTAGGGTACTAGTATCTTTGCAGAATAGCCAAATGCAATATCCATCTAAAAAAGGTTTTGCAATTACCTTCAGTTGTGGAGGCCATCTTCACCAACATCAGTAACAAATGAAATAGCTTCTCACACTGGAGGCACAGGTATCCTCTGTCCAGGGCAGCCTGGAAAGCAACAAAACACTTCTAGAGCTTGGAGCACTAACACCGGATCAACCAAGATTTTGTGTTACTGAAATAACATATTCTGCTGGTTTTGTGCTTAATTTCACAAGCACAGCCTACTCTTTATCCTTCTATTGAATTTTTAATGTTTAGCCTATTTACTGATCTTCTGAGATAAATTTTATTAAACACATTTATGAAGCAAAAGAAATAAGTGTTTCACCCCCAGCTTTCCAGACGAATTGTCTGGCAAACTTAGCCTAAGGTACAGGAGGCTGCATCAGACAGGAGCGAAAGACAGTACCAGTGATCACCACGGGTCATCTGCTGAACTATGCTGTCATCACACACAGCCTTTT